ATGGACATATGGGCAGGCAAAAAGCTGGACTCAGTCAGAATGCTAATCGCCCACCAAATACTCGTTTTGTTCTTTACTACTTTTGGTGTCTCTGTGGCTTGTGGCCACATCTGATGCTAACTGACATGTGAGACCTATATACAGACAACTTAAAGATGAACAGTGTATGAGAAGGGCCATAAAGGTGTGAAAGTGCTCCAGGAGTTTGGAGCAGGAGGGCTGACTTACTGCTGAGGGGACAGGAAGGTACAGTTGAGGAGACGATAGCTTTGGAGTGAGGTTGAAGCAGGAGTGGAAAGTCCACCTCCGCTATCAAGCAGCGCATCCCAGGTGGGAAACCTCCAGAACTAAAAAGAAGGCCAGCAGATTCCATGCTGGGAAATGTAAGCAGGGCTCACAGGAGCTCGGGAGGTCGTGGGAGAGCTGGGGGAACAGAGCTGGAGAGAGTCTGGGGCCATCGTACACAGGGCCTCAGGGCTGACTGCATAATTTCCAAGGTGAACAGAAGTGGAATTTCTGCTCTCAGGGGCAATACAGGTTAAAGTTCAGATCAGTGCAAACCACACAGAAAAGGAGATTCTTGAGAAACTGAATCCTGCTGAGAGGAAGCCTAGCCTAGCCTGCCCTAGTTTATTCAGAAGGTGCTGGCCGGTGAGCGCTGAGTACGTGATGGAGCGGGGCTGAGGAGGACAGAAACACACTCGCATGCGGTTTCGAGAACCTTCGCTGGAATCTTTCTGGATATGAATATCTAGTGTTTCTCCTGTTGAGTCAAGTGGCCACGGAGAAACTTTCTCGAACTGATTTCAGCTTAAAGTTCTTCCCTTCCCCTCACTCGGCCAAATGCATGAAATTACACGCACAGGTAACAGGGAGGGATCGTCTGTCATTTCGTCTCAGGCTTTTCTGGTGGTGATGCCCTCTATTCCCACCTGGAATATGCTCTGCCTTTTCCAGGCCTTGCTTTTCCCTCAAACTCCTCTTCATTTTCTAAAATCCTGGTAAACGCCACCGCCCATTTCTCGGATCGTTCCCAGCACACTCGCGGAGGTTTGGGGTTAGGGTTAGCATTTTTAGATTGGGCGCCAGTGTACAGTTCCCCCTCTGCGTCCTGGGTAAATCTCCTTAGGGAAGGACTGCAGCTGATTCCAGGAGAGCTTAGCAGGTGAGAACAAGCAGGGTCGGTTGGGTGGTCAAGATCTACTATAAGAACTTCTGTGCTGTTTCTCAGATTCTGTGGATTTAGGATTCTGGCCATTTCTTTCTCTATCAGGGACCTAACTGAAAGGGAAGGTCTTGGATCCTGGGGGATGGGAGCTCACGAGCAAATCTGGTGTTCGTTTTTTCCAGGAGTCAGCCTTGGTGAAATCCTGCATTTTTAAATTAGGAGGCCCACATCAGGGACCACCGCTCTGCTAGAGCTGGCTTTATCCTACCACCGTTTCCTTATACCTACCTGCCTTTGCATAGGTTGCAATGAGGAGGTCATCAGGTTTTGCTTGGAAATCCCAGATTTTGTCCCACTGATCACTTATCATCTTGGCCATGAGTATTCCATTCAGTTCTTTTGTTTCTGGCTGTAGGCATTTTTCCTGCAGGTGGAGATCTTTCATCTTCTCCAAAGACATCTTGCCATGTGGACTTGACAGATGCTTAAAACAAAAGTGAACTTGTGTTATTTCTAAGACTTAGAACAGACATTCCTTTTAAAAAAGTCTGAGAGAGTTAGGACAGATATACGGGGAAACTTCATTACAGTGTTTAATGTGAATTTAAGTGTGAGAAGGCAAACCTGCAGGAGGCTGAAGTATTGTAAACAACTTTGTTTCAGGGTAGAGAGAGATAAATAAATGCATCTCTGGTAGAGATAAATCCCAGGGAGGAAACAAAACCAGAAGATGTGTTGGACCAGGGCTGCTTTGTGTCGATGCATCAGAGATGGCCCCTCTGAGCCTGAGCAACAAGCAGAGGCTGGCTGTGCAGGGCCCAGGGGCAGAGGGGCTGGTAAGTTCATAGAAGCTTGTCACAGCTGAGCACCAAAAGAAGGCCACATGGAATCAGTGTTTAGGTCAGTGGGATACAAACCAGCCTTGAATCAGGCTGGGGAGGGGGAGGGGGCTGATTAAGCTATATTTGACTGAGTCAGTGATGGAGCCTACAGAAGTTGCAGAAGCGGGTGAGGCTTAACTAAACTCATGTTGGGGTTCCCTATTGGACAGTGACCATGAGAAGGTTTCAGCGTGGCAGTCTGGGTTGTCCATAAATCTCCCTGGATGTCTACAGCTCCAGATCTCACAACTTGCCCAAATCTCTGGCTGAAGAGCAAACTGCCAGTTAAGGAGGTGACCTTAACGTGCTTGGGTTAGTAACCCCAGCTGGCTTGAGATATGATCATTGTTTTCACAGCGGATAACTTTCTATCAGTCTCTTCCAATCTTAAAATTAAATTTATGATAGAAATGTGATACAGTAATTAAAAACCATAGCATTACTATTTTTGTTGTAAGTTTAAGAATAATCTTGGCATATGTAGTAAATATTTACTATGGAGACAAGCATTTGGCATTTTGGAGTATCCAACAGATGAACCTTGCAGTTAGAAGTTAATATGCTTTTGGACCGGCCTGGTGGTGCACTGGAGAGTGCGCTGCTTGGGAGCGCGGCAGCGCTCCTGCCGAGGGTTCGGATCCCATGTGGAGACCGGTTCCCACTCACTGGCTGAGCGCGGTGCGGGCACAACACCGAGGGTTGCGATCCCGTTGCCGGTACGGGCGCGACACTGAGGGTTGCGATCCCGTTAC